AAAAAAAATTATTGTCATTATAAAGGTGATGTGGGGCCGGGCGCTGGTGGCTCACGCCTGTAATCCTAGCTACTCAGGAGGCTGAGATCTGAGGATCGGGGTTCAAAGCCAGCCTGGGCAGGAAAGACCGTGAGACTCCTATCTCCAATAAACCACCAAAAAACTGGAAGTGGCGCTGTAGCTCAAGTGGTAGAGCACTCGTCTTGAGATGAAGAGCTGAGGGACAGCGCCCAGGCCCAGAGTTCAAGCCCCACGACCAACAAAAAAATAAATAAATAAATAAAATGAAAGTGATGGGGGGGGGGGAGGAATTACATAAGTCAGGTAAAAAGTACATTTCTTTTTCTTTTTTGTCAGTCACAGGTTTTGAACTCAGGGCCCGGGCACTGTCCCTGAGCTTTTTCACTCAGTACTATTACTGGTTTACCATTTTAAGCCACAATGCCACTTCCAAGAGTACATGTCACCCCTTTACTGGCTCTCTCCCAGTTAAAGGCTCTTTAAGTCAACTTTGACTGGACTCTAGATAAGCACAAAATACCAATAATACACAACCACAGGTTTTTTGTTTTTGGTGTTTGCTAGTGCTAGGGCTTGAACTCAGATCCTGGGTTCTGTCCTGGAACTTTTTGCTCCAAGCTAGAGCTCTACCACTTGAGCCATAGCTCCATTTCTGGCTTTTGGGTGGTTAATTGGAGATAAGACACTCATGGACTTTTCTTCCCAGGCTGGCTTTGAACTACGATCCTCAAATCAGTCTCCTGAGTAGCTAGGATACAGGCATAAGCCACCAGCACCCAACATTTCTTTTGTTAGTTGTGGGGCTTAATCTCAGGGCCTATGTGCTATCCTTGAGCTTTATTTATTTATTTGTTTATTAATTTATGCCAGTCTTGGGGCTTGAACTCAGAGCCTGGGCACTGTCCTTGAGCTTCTTTTGCTCAAGGCTAGCATTTTACCACTTGAGCCACAGTGCCACTTCTGGCTGTTTCTGTTTATGTGGTACTGAGGAACCACACCCAGGGCTTCATGCATGCTAGGCAAGCACTCTACCACTAAGCCACTTTACCAGCCCTATCCTTGAGCTCTTTTGCTCAAGGCTAGTGCTCTAACACTTTGAGCCATGGCACCACTTCTGGTTTTCTGGTGGTTAACTGGAGATAAGAGTCTCACAGACTTCCAGTCCAGGCTGGTTTTGAACCACAATTCTCAGGTCTCAGCCTCCTGAGTAGCTAAAATTACAGATGTGAGCCACCAGTGCCTGGTAGGAAATTTTTAAAGATAAAATAATATCATAATCCATTCTAATATTTACATTTATAGACCACAAGGTTTTGATTTTCTTTTTTTTTTGGGGGGGGGCCCAGTTGTGGGGCCTGAATTCTGGGCCTAGGCGCTGTCCCTCAGCTCTTCAGCTCAAGGCTAGCGCTCTACCACTTGAGCCACAGCGCCACTTCCAGCTTTTTTTCTTTTTGTTTATGTGGTGCTGAGGAATGGAACCCAGGGCCTCAGGCATGCAAGGCAAGTGCTCTACCACTGAGCCATCTTCCCAGCCCCAAGGTTTTGATTTTCTCTGATTCAACATTTGCAAAAATTTATTTTGAAAATTCTGATTCCTAAGACAGTGTTTTAATGCTTCACTTTGAGTCACAATGTAACTCCTAATGAGTAGCAGCATATCAACATAGAAGGGATGCAAACAGCTGGAAAGCAGACACCCAAATAGCATACTAGCTTATGAAGGGAAGCTTGGCCTCATGGCCACCAGTGAAATATAAACCAGTACCATAATGCAGTACCAACTAACACCTAACAACATGGTAAAAATGCACAACTGTCACAGTGCAATGGCTGATGAGGGTGAAACACTAGCAGGGCAGCTGGCCTGGCACTGGAAAGCAATCGTTGTTCTTTTTTTTTTTTTTTTGGGTCTGGTCGTGGGGCCTGAACTCTGGGCCTGGGCACTGTCCCTCGGCTCTTCAGCTCAAGGCTAGTGCTCCACCACTTGAGCCACAGTGCCACTTCTGGCTTTTTTCTTTTTGCTTATGAGGTGCTGAGGAATCGAACCCAGGGCCTCAGGCATGCAAGGAAAGCGCTCCACCACTGAGCCACTTTCCCAGCCCCTGGAAAGGAATCGTGAGATACTTAATGAGGACGATGAGAGGAAAGCTCAATAGCCCAGCAAAGGCACTTCTAGAAGACAGACCAAAGAAATCAGACACTTGTACAAGGGTATGCTTAAGAATATCTTTGTAATGACATAGCTAGCAAGATCAATAGAAGGCCCACAGATTGGGAGAAGATCTTTACTAGCCATACAACGGACAAGGGTCTCATATCTAAAATATACTTGGAACTCAAAAAATTAAACCC